GTGGCCAGCACTGAGGTCTCCGGAGCTGCTGTGGTAGGACACCAGCCGTGTGAGCGGCTCTTAAAAACTCCGTGGTCTGAGGAGGGCAATCTTTAACGTGACGCCTCTTTTGCAATACCTGGGTTCGAGTGCAAAGTGCGTTCCTGAAGGGGTAGAAGATTGACATTGTCACTCTTAACTGAAACCCTTCAGGTATCTTATCTGTGCGGGGTCCTCGGAGCCATCGGGCGCTCTCATACAGGCTCCTCAGCCGTATTCGTTTCAGAACGTAGCGTTAGCTTGAACTGAGCAATTTGTTTCATAAACCCCTCAAATGACTGAAGCTTAAACGCTAGGTAAAAACTAGGAGGCAGAGCACTTCTCTTGCTGCTTTTGTTCTTACGCTGCCTTCCACAAAAAGTAAATCAGTTTTCTGAGTGCGGATTTTTTTCAACTCGCATGTTGTCTTGTCTTGGCTGAAGTAGGGACGCAAGGAGAGGAAGCTGATTGCAGTGGGGATTCTTTTAAATCCAGGTTATGGCAATTACTGCACTTAATGAGGCTTCCGTGCTGCCCAGGGCGCTTGCTGCTGTTCAGCGTGCACATCTAACCCTTGCTGTGCCTGTGAAGAGCATCTCCTCCCTCTTGTTTTTTCCGGATTCTTTCCCTGTCCCTTGAAGCTCCAAGGAGCACTGCTAAGCTGGACCTGGACAGCAGGTGGTACGATGCTTGTGCAGAACCACACGGAACCAAAAGCACGTGGCCACTGCCTTGTTAACAGACTGAGCCTGGGGGCAGAACAGGAGGAGAATGGGGAGAAACTCGCCTCTTGCCGCTTTCCTTCTAACCTACCAGCAGTAGGTCGGAGCTGCTCTCTTCTTTGCGTAACGGACATCTTCTTTCTACTCCTAGGATGTCCATGAGTAAACTGTTGTGTCATCTTTGAGATACTGTAGAATAATGCATAAATCATCTGAAAGCTCCTCCTTTTTTTTGGTTTATCTTTGCTTTGGTGGTGGATATTGCTCAGATGTGTGAGCTCCCGTGTGAGAACGCTTGAGTTGATCAAATGCCGAGAGCCATCTTAGAGCTGCCTGCAGCTGTTCACATCCAGGATTTCGATTTGCACTTGGTGGTGTGTCGTACTAGTGTAGCTGTCAGTTCTAGTCAGAACTTTCCTTACTAATTTAATTAATTCACTTCAGCTTTTTTCCCCAGAAGCAGAGGAAACAAAAGTGAATGAGATCTGTAGTTCTGCCAAGATGATTATCAGCCCAATTAAGTCAAATAGTGATGTGTGACAGACATATTTTCATTCAATGTAGCAATCTAACCTGTCAGAAGCCACATTTTTATGTATATTTGAGATGAATAAAGGTGACTTCAAATTTCTAATCAGCAGAGCACATAAATAGAACTACATGGATCGAGGAAGTGTGCTTACATCTGTATTTTGCCATGGTTTTATTTCCCGGTTAACCACCACTTACAAGATTGTATGCCACTGTCATTTTTGTGTCTGTATTCGTGATATTCCACCGGTGTTAATTGTAAAGGCGGAGCAAGTCAGGACGGACCCCTTCCCTGCCACTCTCAGCGTGCCCGAATCCCTCACGTCTGGGTTACCCGGCATCAGCAGGGAGCTCGGGTTTGACGGGACCCGCGGGTGCGTCTGCGTACGCACGGGCATGAGGGCGCGTTTCGGAGCGGTGCGCGGCTGTGTGCTTCATCCCAGTGGAACCTGTGCTGGGGGGCACGGCCCGGCCCAGAGGCAGCCAGGGCCGGGGCCGTCCTGAGCCGGAGCACGATCTCATGGCGAGCGGCGTGTCCGAGCTCCGGAGCTGTGAACTGGAAGGACGTGGCTGTCGCATTTATGCGAACCTGAGATTTTTCTGGGTTGCATTTAGGATGGGTAGGATTTTACTGGAATGACACATTTCTAACACAATTGCTGTCTGCTTGCTGAGCTGCGTGTCCTCCCTGCGGGGCACGGAGACCCGTGAGCTTCTGAAGGTGGTGTTGCCAGACTTTTTTCTTTTTTTTTTAATTGCAAAATAACTTCTTCTGTAGCCTCACTTTTGGGAAGAGCTGAGCTGTTTTCTGGAACTTAAACCAACCAACCAAAGATATCAAACCAAAAATATTATTCTGGGGAAAGCTCTTGTTATGGAAGTCCTCTGCTGAAATAATGAAAGGTTGGCAAAGTTTAAGCATCAGAAAACACTGCCAAAAATCCCTGCTAGCTCCTCATAGTCTGATTTTTTTTGTGTTGTTAGGTTTTTTTGTCTAGTGAAAGTTCAGCTGGCTATACTTGATCATGTCCCGAGGAAAAGGGGAAAAAAAAAAAAGCACACTGCATGACAGGCCAGGGGACTTTGTCCCAGTGTGCTGGAGGAAGAGGTAAACACTCCAAGCTCGCTGCTTGTATTTACTTGGGGCTGCTACCGTGGTTGTCAGCAGGGGCAGGGCGAGGGACTGAGCTCCCTGTGGGCACAAAGCAGAAGTGTCTGGCAGCTCCCTGGCTGTCCTGTGTCCTTGGCTGTGTCAGGGTCGGAGCAGGGGGAAGGGTCAGTCATAGCTGAAATGCCATCACGCCTGGGGAAGCGCTGGGACCACGTTTCAGAAGGAGGGCTCAGCAGAGACGTCTCACAACCCAAGGAATTTTTCAGTCTAGCACAAGAGAGGTTCAAGGACCAGACCACGAGCTCACTGTTCACCCTGCAAGACCGAATCAGTGAATGTTAATTAGGACAAAATCAACTGTGAAATGAAATGGTCCATGTTTTGAATTGACGAAAGCAGCTGAACGTTGGAAAAAGAGGGTGCCTCTTAACTGAATTGAGATACGGCCAAGTGGATTTTTGTGTTAAAATGCCATCAACGGTGTTTTCTGTTTCGCTTTTTATTGTTGTGGGGACTAAAACAACGGCTGGGAAGAAGCACTAATGGATTTCACTCTGATTTAAATGCAGATGTGAAATATTAATAATGTAAACAGAGGTATTTGCAGAGGGTGGCCATCACATGCCGTAATTTTTCAGTTGCTGCTAAAACCTGGCAAAGAGCTGGTGCAAGAGTCAGAAGACATGCAGAGAGCAGGTCCTCCATCCTGGCTGACTGCAGGCTGGTGCAGGAGCGTTGAGGGGAAGCCCCAGGGACAGTGTGTGTTTAGGCCTGATAGCTCTCAAAACAGCAAGCGTACAGGTCAGATCTCGGGCACCTAGAGCACACGCTTCTGTGGGAGTAAGGTGCCTGAATTCTTGTAAAAACCTTGTTTAAAGTGATTGTGGCTGCGCTTCTGGTGAGAGCTCTGAATCCTCGCTTTGGTGGTATCTGTTCTGTCTCTTGGCTCTGGGACAGGATTTACCTAGTTGTAGGAAAACTGATCACTGTGGGGGTAGAACAAAATTGGTAACTAACGTGTAAGTAGAGTTTACCCTCCACAGCGTTTAATATCCTTCCTTTTTCATTCTATGGTTGCAGGTTTGGTTCTGATGAGTTGAAAAAACAGTTCCTCGTACCAACTATAGCTGGAGACGTTGTGGCTTGCTTGGGAATCAGTGAAGCTGGAGCTGGGTCAGACGTCGCCAGTAAGTTAACCTAACAAATTGCCCATTTTAGACAGCCTGGGATTTTCATGGAAAGAATCTGTTTTCCCTGACTCTTCCCTTTGCCGCTGTCATTTGTAAGAAGCAAAAGGGAGGAGAGTCTGGCACGGTGAGGGCAGAAAGTGGTGTTCCAGGAGCAGCAGCGCACGGCGCTGGTGCACCCGAAAGCAATCGGAGTGAACGTTGGGGAGTCGATAGCTGAGGCTGTGTCGAGCCTGAGCACCGCAGATCACCGTCCCGCTGCCACGCTGGCCCTGGCTTTCTGCTGGCGCTTGTCCTGCTGCTGCCCCCCGGCTCTGTGGGCGCTCGGCCCAGGCAGGGAGCACCCCAGCGCCTCCTCAGCTCAGCCACCCCCGGCCAGGCATGTCTGCAGGGTCTGTGATCGGGTGGTGGCTGTGCTGGGACTCACACTTCCCAAAACAGACCTCCCCGCTGCTGTGGGCCGACTGCGGAGCCCATCCGTCCCGAGCGCCGCCACGCCACGTCCGCAGCGGGTTCCTCTCGCCCGTTCTCGCCTCAACTCAGCCCCTGCCGGTGTTCTGTGCAGGAAAAATGCCTCTGAGCGGGGGACTTGCTTTATGGAGAGCTAGCAAAGGATTTGCCGTGTCAAATCCGTTACCTTTGTGATTTAGTCACTTTGCACGCAACTCTTTCACGGACGAATGAAGCTAATATTCTGGAGTGCCTGAGGCAGTAGATGATTTGAACAATTAAATTAAAACAGATGCAGAAAAAGTGAAAGATATCTCATCTGACTGAATCATGGATTCAAGGAAGAGGGCGTGACAAGAAACCACTCCTAGAGGTTTTGTCGCCGGGCACAGGCTGGCCGAGGTGAACACGTTGTGCTCTTGCAAATCACTGAGGCAACGTCTCCCCGCAGACAAAATCACCGAGTTTGACTGAAGTTCTTTGATCAGCAGAGTCCTCCTTGGCGCGAACTCATGATGTTTTCTCAAGACAAATAGATAATTATTCAGTGTCAGAGGAGGGGTGCAGCAGGTAGTTTTCAAGAGAGATAGTGGGGATCATGAAATAATGGGACTAAATCTTCCTGCGTGATCTGTTGGTGTTTTCCTTTCCAGTTCATTGATTTTGTTCATGAGAAAAATTCCATAATTTTTATAGACCTGTTTTTCATTAAAATGATTTGAAATTTGACTGTTGCTAATGTAGGAACTACAACATAATTTATTTTAATTAATGCCTCTCTAGTTTAATTAGATGACTATCAGAACTTCCTAAATATGATTGTAAATTTTTGGTGCAGCGTTCCAGATAACAAGTAACATAAATATTCTTTTAGCTGCATGTTGTTTATCATCTGGTTTAATTGGTGTGACACACTTGGATTGAGACAGTTAAAGAGAAATTTGGAATCAGCTGGGATTATCTGAGGAAGGCAGGCTGCAGCGGGGAGGCAGGCTGCAGGATGAGGCGACGATGCTTTTTGACCTGTCCTGGAAGATTTGATCCCGGTATAAATCCAGAAACCAGCTTTCAGTGTTTCGGAAGGGTAGTTGAATGGCCGGCTTGGGCACGAGCAGCACTGGCTTACGTTCTGAGGAGCGCTGGTTTGCACGAGGCAGAGAGAACGTGTCCTCTGCAGATGGCCCAGCTTTCAGCCGGCCGAGCTGCGCTTGATGCTTCCTTCGGTTTCCCGGGCTGTGGGGATGTTTGTCTCCCGTATCGAAGTGCAGGGGTAGGAGAGCGTAGCGACTGCTTTGGGGAGGTGGGGACGTGCTTCTGCCCGGGGAGTCCCTGTACCTGGAGCTGGAGAGTGGCACAGAGTAAGGCACCTCTAGCGTTTCTTCTGCCAGTCCCAAAATTACCGAAGGTGATGCGAACACAGAAGAAAAAAAAAAAGTGTTTCTCTAAATGAGAAGTGAAAGGTGCCTGGAATGAATTTATTCAAAATTCAACAGAACAAAAAGGACTGTGTATATTAGCCTGATACACATTTCAAATCAATTTGAAGGAGTACCTGCCTGCTTTCAAATGCAGTTGTTGTGTTGTACATCGTCTTGACCACGTGCAACAAAACCAGCACAGCGATGACTGGAGAAGCAGAGCAGCAGGTACAGAGAGTGTCTGTCTTTAATTTCAGGATTCTTGGTACCACCCAGCATAAGTGTTTGTGTCAGTCTTAATGATTTTGTCTTGTCTCACCTCACTGCTCTTCTGCAATCTAGATAACGTTTTGCTGATAGCCTGTGGGGGACACCTAAGAATGCCTCACGGACAGCAACACTTCCTCTTTCAAGTTAAGGCTTCCAGGCAACTGCAGCGAGTAACCCTGTTCACGGCTGTCTCTTCAACACAGATACCTTGCCCCAATTTGGCTCGGTGGAACCCAATCTTTCTGCCTTTCTGGATTTAGGTCATTTTTATTTTTTTTTTGAGCATGAAACCCCACAACGGCACACGGTGTCTGTAATGGCACAAATACTTCTCCCACCCCAACAGAAATACTGCCCCCGATGTGTGAAGGTGCACAGCGCTTTGCTGGCTCGTGATTAACTCTGCAGATCACCTTCCTTAGCAGTTTGCTATTGAAACAGGAATAGCACGAGACAGCAATTGTGCTCGTTGCCTTGTGCCTAAGTACTAGTACCTGCCAGGTCAAGCTTGAAAACTCAAGGTCATTCCTTTCTTGCTGGGCGGTGCCTCAGTTGCCTGTGTCGGTGATGTCTCCCGAGTTTGTGTCACCAGCAGATTTCATTAGAGTGTTCCTATCCTCCTTTTAGAGATCATCAACGGAAATGCTCAGTAGGTTTTGTCCTACTGAGTCGGTATCCAAGGAGAGGCACCAGCAGGGCCCTCCCTGCACGTCAGCACTGCCTCTTTCAGTGCAACCTGATGCAATTTCCGCTTTGCCCAAGTCCCTTTTGTCCTAATTCTTATCTTTCCAAAATTCTAACTCGGAGTTACCGAGTGGCACAGATTCTGGTTCGCCTGGGTCCAGCAGGATTTTTCCTGTTCTGCTTTTCTCTAGAAAATCCATTTTCATAATAAACAGATTGGGTTGGTTTTGAATAAGATCCCACTGGTAAATTGAATTCTCTTTTCTTTCCAAATGCACTCTGAGGCTATGCAGATTGCCAAAACCAGCAACCTCTCTTCTCACTAACGTTAATTTCTGTACAGTCCTTCCTGTCCATGCCTTGCTCTGACAGCTGTATTGTGAATCTTTATCTCATGTGAAATGCTTCTGTAGTTTTGAGACATCCTCTATATGCCTCGTGTTTTTTCTCATTCTCTTTTTGCTTCTGTGGCTGAAACACTTTTGTTTGCTGCCTGTCTTCTGCAATTTTGTTCGTTTTCATCTGCAAGATTTAACTTTGTTTGACCTGTGGCAGTTCTTGCCTTCTGACCTCCAAACTGTAGCTTACTGTTTCCTTTGCTGTAGGCCATCTCCTGGGTTTTTTTGAAGTGATTATTTGTTCAGTTAGACTTGAAGCTATTTCATGCAAGTTTTGCATTGTTTTTTTCCTGTGCTGACGATGTAAATTCCAGATAGGTGTTCTTTGCTTTTTACTTTAAGGATGTGCGTTGCCTATCTTTGATCGCCACGTTGACCCTAAAAGTTGAAGCCAACCTTGCCTTTTGTCCAATCTGTTGTGATGCCTGGCTGGACCCAAGAGCACAGTGGAGAAGACAGCGTGAGGCTCAAGTGTGTTGTGATTTGAATGGGGAAGGAACCAGCCCTGGTTGCTTCTGTGGCCCTCGCTGTATCATATGCCTTTTGGTGGTCCCTTGTGGCCTTTCCTAGAAGGGGCCCTCACAGCATGCTCTGTAAACGCTCCTGTTGAGTTACAGGCACTACAGGGCCAGTGGTGTGGACCTGCCAAAAATGACTTACGGAGCACCCACTGAAGGCGCCTTTTCCCAGAGCTGTGCACTGTCAGGGAGAATAATTACAGTCAAATGTTCTAAATTTTGTTCATAGCCATATCTCTGAGACTGAGTCCACTTGATCAATTAAGTAGGTTTTCAAAGCCTACTGCATTTTAAACATAGACTTACTTATTGTCTTGATCATCTTTCTCCTAGTTAAAGAGTAAGTTGATTTTAAGTAGTGGTTTCTCAAGTGTTTGAAGCAAACGGTCCAGTGTCACATCTGGGAATACTTGAACATTCCCATTAGTAAGGCATTTGTTCTTTAATCTCTCTGTGGGAGGTTGGCCCCCTGTGACGCCATGCTGCATGAACTGTTTACACTTGTGATAACATCACAGTGCTCATTGTTCCTCCCCAGACCTTCCTGGGACCTCTATCTAATCTCTTCGGTGGCTGTTCCACAACAAAGGGGTAAATCACTGTGGATGCTCCCATCCTTTTCACACCACTGTTGTGTTTCTTACTCCACCTCTTGTCTGTCCTTCATTTATTATTTAGTCTCCACGTATGATTGCCCAGTGTCTGCGTATTAGGAGCATCAGTGCTTTAGATTCCTTCAGCTTGTTGGCCTTTGTCACTAGACAGATTTCATATCAAGTCCCTTGGACAGGTTTGGCAAGTCCTCTCACTGCCTGAGTAGCTGCCTGGTTTTATCCACCATAGTACTTACAGCTGGGTGTCTGTGGGAGAGCCTCCCTTGGATGGGGTTTTAGTTGAAGAAGTCCAGTTGCAGGGCAAAAAGCCAGGCAGCCCCTTAGGACGCCTGCTGGTACCCGGTGATTCACGCCGGCCGCCTGTGGCAGCGAGGGCTGCTTGCAGGGTGACGCGAACACTCACGGGGGAGAATGAGGTGGTGTTTTGCCAGGGGGTACAAACAGCAGGAGTTCAGAACTCCTCCTCCGCGTGCAGATGTTCTTAGCGCTTAGCCTGGGCCTTTGGTAGCCGCTCTGACCGCGAGCGCGCAGGAGGGCACGCGCGTGTCTCTGCGTACGCAGACGCTGGCGGTGTTGAAGTCGCAGCTCCGCGGTTAACGTCCGCCTCGGTGACTGACGAGCAGCCACGGAAACGCGTGGTGCATCGCCTCTGGCCCCGGGTTTTGACAGCCAGGCTTACGTAGGGAGAGTTTTCATCTGTCAGCTGCTGGGCTGTGGACTCCACCTAAGGGAGGGTGAGAGAAGCGGTCCTGTTCCCCCAGCTCCCCTTCCCGGGGCCCTCTGGGCAGGTCTGCCATGTGCAGGATTTGGGGGTGGGAAGGGAGACCAGGTACTGGTTGTCTGTCTGAGAGCAAGGGAGCGACCCTGCCTGCGGTACAGGGACCCGTTGATCCCTCCTCCGCCCGAACAACCCTTCGTTTCCTGTGTTTTGCAACAGACATCAAGACGAGGGCTGTGAGAAAAGGCGATGAGTACGTCATCAACGGTGGCAAGATGTGGACTACGACCGGGTGCCAAGCGGACTGGATGTGCCTGCTGGCCAACACCAGCGAAGGACCTCCCCATCAAAATAAATCTCTCATGTGCCTGCCGATGGATCTACCTGGTAATAACACAGAACTCTTTCTCCTCTGACGTGATTTTATCGGTGGGTTTGTGTATGCCCCACCCAAGAAGGAAGGGTGTTTGGCAGAAAGGACTTCACCCCTAAATGCCCGTCTGAGTTAGGTGTGTGCCGCTCAGGTGGTTCTGAAATGGATGCGCACACTTCCACAAAGAAGTAGGGGACAAGAGGAAACAAGAAGGAAGTTAAGTATTTTGCAGACTTCAGCTTGTGACTCCCAAATAATTTTATATGGAGAGTCCTTTTTGCCAAAAAAAAATTTGTACAAGTTGTTTAGATACATTTGCATGGGAATATTTCATAACCTTCTGTGGGAATGAAGAGACAAGTCAGTGCCAAGGACAAAATTAATGCCTCAAAGAAATCATTCAAAATAGAGCCAACATTCTTTTGGAAGTTACAAGATCCGGTGTCTCTTAGTTTTGGAGAAGATCCACAAAACTTTTATCTGGGTTTTCTGTCCCAAAAGGCATGAAGATGCAAACAGTCCACAAAATAAATAACATATTAATCTATTTACATGGATCTTTGCTACATATGACCTATATGTAAAATGTTCTTAAATTGTCTTTCCAAAATAGCATTAAATTGTTTCCTGTTTTGTATGAGGGCTGGTGAACAGAATATGTACTTCCTTTTTCAATGAATGGAGAAGTATTTTTAATTAAGCTATCTTATTTCTTCAGAAAACATTGAAAGTGATTCTCAAACATGTGAAAATAAACAGATAAGGAGTTTAGAGATTTCAGACTTGGGAAGTAGATGGGAAATACGTCCCAAAACAATCCTGTCCCACATGCCAACACCCCTCTCCCCGGAGCCCGTGGCCAGTACCTGGCTCGTGGGCTCGGTTAGGGTGGGCTCAGGGACCAGCTGCATTGAATCCGTGCTGTGACTGCGGGGTGGGTTATCCCTCCGGTAACCGCCCTCCTCCGCCCAGCCTGGTGGGCTGGCGGGTGCGGGCGCCCCAGGAGGCTTCGCGGCTGTGCTCCGCAGAGGGGCCCTCTTGCCAGGGCGCCGCTGCCCGTGTCCGCTCGAGCGAGGAAAATAGTCCGGGAGTTAAACGTGGGCTGGAGCGAAAGCTCTCGGGCGTAGGGATTTGGTTTTGAAGGTGATGGCTAGTGATCTGGGTGAAGGCACTGGAGAACCACATCCCGACCGAAGGGCAGAAGTGTCAGTGGTGCAGCCCGGACGTGCCTGTTCCTGGGCAGCCTGCAGGCCTTGCAGCAGCCGTGTCCCTCCGAGAGGGCGCGGTTACGGTCCTGTGGGCAGGGACCTCGTGCGGTTTTAACCTGTTCAAAGGTTTTTAAACCTTGTTGGTTTTCACTTGTTTTAATATTTAAAAAAATTATGTAAGATATTAATTTAATGTATAGTATATTTTGACACATATTTTAAATATATGCTATCCATGTAATATCTCCTACTGTATATTAATGTATTGATTAATAGGAAATACTGTTGTTTGTTTAGTTTGGAGTAGCTCACACACAAAGGGTGTGTCATTACCAGCAGTTCACACGTAGGGACGCGGCCCTGGCAGCGAGGTGAAGGCCCCTGTGTTCACTGACTGGACCAGGCAGAGGACAACACCCGGGTCTCCAGTGCCGCGGAAGGGGGTGAGGAGAGCTCCTCAAGGGAGTATCCTGTATGTGAATCTCAGCGAGGAGGAAGCCAAGCAAGTGAAGCGCGTTGCCCTGGGCACTAAGCAAGGTCTGCGTGGGCTGTGAGTTTCCCCAGCCTCTGCACCCGCCAGAGAGGCTTTGGGTGGGAGCTCCCGGCAGAGGGACCTCGCTGCTTCACTAGCTGTTGGCTTTGCCCTTACTGGTCGGTGAGGAGCGAACGTGTAACGCGGAGCCAGAATCTCCCTGGGTGTCCAGGTGAGCTCACGTGCAGCCACCTGTCCCCGTGAAGTCCTCCTTGTGGTGCTGCAGGAAGGGGTCAGAGGGCAAATGCAGGGCTGCTTCGCGGAGGTCGGTTTTCCCGACCCAACAGAGCAGCCGCCCCACTGTTAGAGGAGATCAAATACACAGAAATCAGATGGGAGGTTTTCAGCCACCTTGGTTCTTCCAAAAAGACACGTGAGTCGCTGTGGCTTTGGGGGGGTGCTGTTGGGTCCCACAGCCCATACACAGACCTTCTTTACCTGCAGTGCGTAGATTTTGAGTAGGAGAATTGCCTGAGTCACCTGCAGCTGGTCAGCAGAAGTGTAGAAGTCTTCCTAGAGGCAAAAAGTGCACTCCTGAAAGTGTTTGTGCTTTCGTTCTTCTGTGTGGTCCAGATAGGGACCCCCAAAAGGGTCACTGTGCCCAGACTGGTGACCTTTTGGAATGGAGTATTAAGGCGGTAGATTGTGCTCAGTGGGTGGGTCATATGGGAAGTGAGATTTTTCAGGAAGACCAAGAGGAAAAGCATGAAAAAGGCTGCCGTTTGACACAGATGTGGGGAGGAAGCTCCAGCTGTGCCGATACATCCTAAGGATGTCTGTCTGCCACAGATTGTGCTCCTTGGAGGGCAGCAGACCAAGACGGGGCGGAAGTGTCCGGGGGACATCGCCGAATGATGCGCTGTCACGCGTCTGTAGGTGCTGTCAAAGCTCAAGAGCGAGTGTGTTGTGTCTGACCCACTGCTGCAGTCGCCAGCCTGCGTGGCAGGGTAAGGAAGGGACCCGGGCTGCAGCGGTAACTCCCTGCTGGAAGCTGAAGGACATGGGAGACCAGTCCAGCATTTTTCATGAAAATCTTCATTGGTTTGTGCTTGTGCAATGTGGTGATGAAAGAAAAAAAAGAAAAAAAAGAATCCAAGTCTGAAAGTGAATTATTAACTTCAACAACTGGTAGTTTCTTGGAGAGGTGAAGTAGGGTTTGATTCTTCTAGTTCTAGGTGTGTACAGAGTCTGTTCTGGGGTGAAGCACATCATGGTCTAGATCTGACAGATATGCTGAATACCTTTCTCATAAGGGGAATTTGGATAACGGGAGTGTGGATTCACAGTAGATGTCCAAATCAGGTGAATACTCCTCATACTAGTGATGCCTTAAAAACAAAAAGCTGAATTTCTCATATGATGAAGTAGAATCTAGCAAGCTGTAAATTGTCTGTGTGTTAGATACGTAGACAGATGGCTTGCAGCCCTAATCTGGTAACTATTTGTGCACTGGTTTGTCCTCAGATAGTACTGGGGTAGATGGCGAGGAGGAGATAATAAAGAGAAGGTCATCCAGGAAAGGGGAAAGAGCATGTTCATGTTTCTCAGGCTGCAATTTGAAATGTGCCTCTTCCCCTTTGTAATGGCAGTAAACGGTGTCAGGAGAGAGCGACTGCCTTTCTCTCAAGACTGAGTATAGGAAATGGAAAGAGATGGTCAGAAGGCAGGAGGAGTGGGGGAAGATGAAAAACCAGACACGCCTGGGAAGAGCTGCCCAGAGCAATCCGTCTCAGTGGTCGCGGTGCAAGCAGCACAGATGGCTCCGCGTGTTGTCGTTGTAGTGCAGGCGCTTGGCCTTGCTGGATTGAGGTTTGTGTGGTGTTGGGTGGCTCGTGATTTATCTCGTGCAGACAAACTCCAGGAGTTCTCTGGGCAGCTGATGGCGGCTGCTGCTGTGGCTGGTGGTAGTTTTTAGTATGTGGTACCTCTTGTGAGGAGAGTGAAGGTAACGAAACTAAGCAAAGGAGGGTTTTGGTGCCCCTGTTGTAGCCAAGGAGATGGTTATGTAGTCTTCAGAAAAGAGAAAACAAAGGGGGCACGACGTGAGGCTGATGCAGTTTGGCCTCTTCCTGAGTGAGAAACGTGAACTAATCTAAGAGCGAGTGAAACTGGTAAGGCACAACCAAGGGGCTGCTGCTGGATGCGAGACACTTGAACACGCAGCCCAGCCTGGACGAAGCATGGATAGACATCGGTAACACCTTTAGCTCCTCTGGCCAAACCTGTATGAGCTTTCTTCAATGGTTGGGTGTGGGTCTGGGGAAGTGCACACCAGGGTTGGTTTAGCAGCGTGAAGAACTGGCAGCCGTTGTACTTTGTCCAGCGGAGCCCTTGGTAAACCCCCCACTAACGAGCAGTAAGTGCATCTTCCTGGGGGCGAGGAGCGGTGTTGCGTAAAACCAGCTGGAAGTCGACCAAAAACATGACCTCCAAGACACTCAAAGAAATGAAGTGGTAACATTCCAATGGGGAAAGACGTTCCAGGAGTCATTTGGGCCTGTAAATGCTTCAGTGTGTCTTTAGCTCTGATTTTAATACAGAAACAAACTACAAATGCTTTTTTTTGGCATGACTGGGTGCAAATTGCTAGATAATTTTCAGTCCAAGGGTCAAAAATTTTTACAGAGCTGTCCTGATTTTCTTCCTGTGTTGAACACACATCAAAGCCAATGTTCCTAAGGCGTGATCTGTTTATACATTGGCTGGTGGAGAAGAATTGTGAGTGGAAGGTGGGGAAGTCTCTGTGGACCTTATTCCGAGAGCAGTCTTGGCGTTTGGAAATGGCGTCAGTATTTCATCTCTGCGGAGAGATGAAACTTCCACCACCTTATTCAGTGCAGCCAGAGCGTGCCGGTTTGAAGGGAACGACTGGCAGCTACTTCTGCCTGCAAAACCGAAGTGGCGTTCACGTGGCTGAAGGCCTCCTGTCAGTCAGAGTCGAGATGTCGGTGTTGGGTCAGAAAGAGATGGTCGCTGGAAGCCGTGAAGGACGGCAAGGCACAAACACGTGTGGAGGGGGACACGACGGTCCGTGTGGTGACCAACTCCTCCTAAGCCGCATCAGAGAGTAGTAGAAGATTGAAAAAAAATAGAATAAAGAGGAAAATCTTGCCAGGATGTTTCCTCATCACAACACTGGTTAGAATACCACGTATGTGGGCAGTGAAATGTTTTCTGCAAAGACACACGTGCGGATTTGGAGGGCTGGTTTTCGGTGTATAGTGACTTGGCAGATGTAGTCAGCACACTTTGCAAAACTCCTCATACCTGTTTGTTGGCCTCAGTTTACCTCTGAAACATCCTTGACTTCCACGCCGAATATTCGCATTAGCCCCAGGGCAACAAGGAGATAAAAACTGAAGATGAGGGAGTTGCCACCAACACCCCCGTGGGTGCCTGTTGCGCTCTGGCGGCACAGCGGAAAGCCGTGCTGGCGTCTCCAAGAGCAGGAGGGAGCCTGTAGCCAGGGAAAACCACGCAGCGGGAAGGCGTCCCACCTGGTGTGACCGGGCAGGTGAAGCCTTGCGTGGCCAGGCCTGAAGGAACCGGGTTGGCCTCCAGCGGCCGCGGCCGGTGAGGCAGGGTCGGTGCTGTGGGCAGCAAACGCCCTTCACAAGGGTGTCCACAGGAGAGCTCAGGGGAATGAGCTGTGGACCGCGCTGTGACTGCTTAGGTGAAGCAAACAGGGGTTTGTAGGCCGTCCTGAAAATACGTTGTGCTAACAAAATTTGGAGTTCACGTGGAATGGTTGGATGTTTGTAGCAGTTAAGAATTTGAGTCTAACTTCTTGTTATTAGGAAAAAGCGGTATTGCGTAATTATACCCTCTCTTTTCTACAGGTACCAGAAAAAATCAGGGTGGGCTAGAAAGGGGGAGGGTAAATGTGGAAGAGAAGGAAGGAAGAGACTTTCCAGGAGGAGAAATTCTCTAGTTGCAGCTTAAAACGTAGCTCTGTTTTTGTCATTATTAAATATTTCTCTACTGTTTCCCAGCAGCGCAGGTACTCGGCAAATACTGCTAAATTGAATTCCAGAACTTTATTATAGAGCACTAAAAGTGAAACGTAAGCAAGTTTCAGGATGTGCATGCAGTAAGATTATTGCTGCTAGTAAACAGTTGTTATTTGGGGACGTAATGGAAAGGGACCTTCACAAGTGCACAGTTTCTGATTTGCTAGTTAAATAAAATGGGAAAAAAAACCTTCTTAAAAATAGGATGTGGGCTGTTTTACTCTTAAATTCCAGAATACTGTTAGGTTTATCCTGAAGGTAGGTTTCACTGTAGCCTTGACACAGACCTTCACATCTGCAAGCCTGGCTTTCTCAGAATGCTGTGCTTGTACCTGGTGCTTCTGGGGTTTGTGGCCTTTCTCATGCCCCTTTTTCTTCAGGCATTCACGTCACTAAGAAGATCGACAAACTGGGCATGAGGTCGTCGGACACGGCTCAGATCTTTTTTGAAGACGTGAGGGTCCCCCGCAGAAACCTCATCGGCGAGGAAGGGAAGGGTTTCACGTACCAGATGCTGCAGTTCCAAGAAGAGCGGCTGTGGGGAGTCGCCAGCGGTAAGGCACCGCTCGCACGCCGGGGCCGGGCGGGCACCCGGGGGTCGCCCTCCCCGTGACCAACAGCCCTTCCCTTCTGTCGCGGGTGCAGTGACCTCGTACGGGCTGGGTTTGAAATCTGCCGGAGCCTGTCGTGGCGTAGGCGACCTTCCCTTTCTGTGGGAGAGCTTGAAGCAGAATGTACTTTGTGGGGCGTCCCAGGGCTGGTTTTGCCTTGTTTCTTTTTCTTGGCCCTTTTCTGCTGATAAGAACATAAGGTATCGCGTTGTGTCCGCCACAGATAAAGTACAAAGGCTGTCAAAACACTGGCATGACAGAGAAGGACGGTGACTTTTCCTGTAGTACAGCGAGCAATGATGCTTACCCTGGATTTTAGACCATGAACTAGGTGGCTGTGTAAAGAAGTGGCTCTTACAGGATGCGAGAGCTTTGTTTTGCAGGTCTGTGTTACCTCTGCAGACGCTGGGCAGAAGCGGTACAGCGCCAGATTCCCTGCTCTGAAGTTACCCTGTCACAGAGTTCCTGTTACTCTGGACTGAGGGCTTACTTAAATCCACATTGTTTGAGTTAGACGGGTTCTGGCTATTCCAGGTAACCAGAGCCAAGTCTGGATTGTCCATTTTCAGTGTCCCAGCCTTTCCCCCCACCCCACAGTGCTTGTTTCTTCCACTGAAATAGGTGGCTCATGGCAAGATTGGCCCCCTCTAAATTTCAGAGTTGTGTAAATGACCTCACCACGTTTGTGCTCCTGTGCAGACCCTGTCTGTTGCTGTCTGCGTGTGGCCGGGGAGCCAAGAAGTGTTTTACTGATCCAGTGACCAAATAAAAAACCTCAAGTCTTGCGTGTTGTGAGTTGATCCCAGACCATATATTTTAGAGTTCAAATGCTTTAAAAAAATCTTTGGTTTGGGCCAAAATTCTTAGTTCAGCCGGAGATAAACAGTGGGAGTCATTTTAGCAAAGAACGGAGGTTAGACTGGCAAGGGATGCCACTGCAGACTCGGGCAAGGAGAGACGTGGTCCTGCTGCTGGTCCTGCTTTAATGGAGGCAAACACAGACCGCAGGGGCGTGCATTGTGCGTGTTTACGCTCAGCTGGAAGCCCACCAGAAGCTCTGGCTTGCAGCGATGCTCCCCAGGCAGCAGAGCAGCCCACGGCGTTACTCGTGCCCCAGGCAAAAGCGCCGGGCAGTGTCAGCATCAGACGGCGGAGCGTGGCGCAGGTTAGGTCACTCCTGCGAACGCCGCGGCAGCCCGGTGCTGTCCCGCCTTGCACAACTGCCCGGCAGGCGCCGCGGGGGCCGGGAAGTGGGACGCCGGGTTTCAATTCTCCTTTTTGCCCCGGGCGGCGCCGCGGGAGCAGGAGAACACTCGCCCTGGGGAGGGCATCTTCGCTCGCCCCGCCGTGCCCAGGTGAGGGAGAGCCCTGGAGCTCCCCGAGGGAGAGGGAGCTCCCTCCTGGGCCGCTTGGCTTTGCTTTCGTCCGCTGTCCGGTGGACAACGCATGACCGCGCTGGGAGCGGGGACAAGTCCGTGGTTCGGGCCAAGCTGAGGATTTCGGAGGTGTAGCCAGTTGTGGAAAACAAGAGGAAAGAGTAACGGTGTCCAGCAGGGAGCCGGGTGCTCGGTGGATGTGGTTTGTCCCACCACGACATCTAGCTGTTGGCTTCCCGCCCTGCAGATGGCTTTACGGATGCAAAACGATGCGCGCGCCCTCGTAGGCTTGGGAGGAGGTCTGTGCCGTAATCCCAGTCCTCGTTTCTGGCCCTCAGAAAGACATTTCTGTTCCTTCCCGGTTCGTGACTATTCACGTGACGCTGAAAGTCGTCAGTCTGCTTTCGAGCGCTGTGGGGGCCAGCCCTGGCATCCTCGCTTGCGCTGCTTCCTGGAACCTGGCAGGAGACTGCCCTTCTCTTTCTGTCCTTTTTGGGGGTTGTTTTGTTGAGTTTGGGGGGTTTTTGCTTTGTTTTTATGTGGTTTTTAGCACCAAGTTTCTGTGCTCCAGCCTCCTCTTTGTTTATTAGTAATCTTTGTGGCCAGATTTCAGAACGTGTGGGGAGTTTCCTTCCTCCTTCACCTTTTTTTTTTTCTTTTTTTTTTTTCCCCATTTGAAATGAATTTTCAGCCAAAGAGATTTAAAATAGAAATGGAAAAACTGATTTCCTGGAATTGCAAAAGTTGGTCCCAGGTGTGGTCTGTTCCTCCGAGTGACACATCACCCAAGGCATTGGTCAAAGGCGCTGGGTTTCTTGCTTCACTGGGGGCGAAGAGCTGCCGCGTGTCTCTCCCGTGGGGTGACACCCGGCAAACGCCGTCCGTTCGTGGACCTGCTGCACTGATCACAGGAAAAGAATGTTGCTATGGCAAGAAAGCAAACGGGGGTTTTGCGAATTGCTTAACGTGGAGGCAAGGAGGGAGTTGAGTGTGTGAGAGAGCAGAATGGCGCTTCTCGAGTGCCTGCTCTGCTCGGGCAGCCTCGGCTTTGTGAGCACCACTGAGTCACGGCCGGGGCGCAGGGTGACGGAGCCGTTGGCAGGGGCAGTGCACGTCCTTCAGAGACAGGCTGCTCAGCTTGGAGCTCGCTGTGCGCCTCGCTGGAGACTGATCAGCCGCAGCCTAAGAAAAATACATCGATTTCCTTTCGTTGTGAGAGGAGACGTGGCAAGGCAGAGGGTGTTTGCAGCGAGCAGGAGTTTCGAGTAGGAAAACGTATGTTGGAGGGAGGCACGAGGTAAAGATCGCTCTGTGTCTGCAGCTTGAGGCGCTTTCACGGTTCTTGGCTGCGTGGCGGACCGCGGGTTTGTGCCTTGGGCCGCCCTGGGGCGACGTCTCCCGCACGTGCTGGCGGTAGAAGCCCGCGGGGCCCCGTTTGTCTGAGGATAGGCAGAGCGTTGGGTGACGAAGGACGAACAAATATCCAGGTGGGGGGGAAGTTCGGTGAGAAAATGAGTTTCCCCGTGAAGAAGGGCATTTCCCTGGAGTTCCACGAGCGGCACATCGCTGCGTGCCGTCGGGTGGCAGGAGCTGTCGGCAGGTGGGGGCTCGCGGTGCCCCGCGCCGTGGTACGGCTGCGCCCCCGAAACCCCGCTCGGGGGGAGAGCTGGGGGTGGTCGTGGCAGGGGGCGACGGGCGGGACGTGAGGCTGCACGGGAGAGCAGCGCGGGGGGCACGTCCGAAGGCGATGCAGGAAGGAGGGTGGGGGCCCGCCCGGCTCTGGGGGAGCTGTGTGTGAGCGACTGGCAGGTGGGAAAGGGGTCTGCAGCAGCCCAGGCCTGGCTGGGGTCTGCACTTCAGATTCGGAGCTTTGTGGTGTCGATTCTACCTGAGAGCAGGTGTGGAGATGCGTATTTTCGGTGTGGAGATGCGTATTTTGAATCACAGAACGTCAGGGGTTGGAAGGGCCCTCTGGCGACCAACTAGTCCCCACCCAGATCATCTAGTCAAACCCCCCTTCCAGAGCAGGGCCACCCAGAGTAGGTCACACAGGAACACGACCAGGTGGGTTTTGAATGTCTCCAGAGGAGGAGACTCCAAAAAAGTTTTGAAAAGAGAAAGTGTGACCCTTCTCGTACAGATGGACTTGTGAACGCTCCCTCTCCCCACCGCTTGCCTTGGTGACCCGGGTCCACATTCGCCAAACACAGTTCTCCTCAAACTCAGTCCCTGCTGTTGTCCCAGCCCGGCCCGTCACTTCGAGGCTGGTTTGCCTTGGAAAAGAAACTTCCCTTTTAATCTTGTTTAAGACAGGGTGTCTCTAAGTTTGCTCAGAAATTAGTTCTCTGGCTTTGAGCCGCGTCCGCCACCTCTGCTGCCCGTCCCCAGCAGCGTGCTGTTTGGTTCTGCTCCCGTCGGAACTCTCGTTAGCTTTTGCTGAAAGCGGCTGTGGGTTGTAGTGGTTTTCCCTTCCTCTCTGTACTGGGATCTGGTCACAGAGTGCAGCCTGTGGCGTTCCCTGATCTCCGAATAGGGTTCTGCCTCCTCCCTGGAGCCTTCCAAGAGCATACGTTTCCGCAGCGTTCCCCAGGGAGCACGCTGCCTGCCGCCGGCATCGCCGCAGGCCTTCAGGACGCAGGTTGCGTGGAAGGCAGGAGTTGTCACAGGCTTTTCCAGGGCCCCAGATGAGGCGTTAGGGATAAAGTTTGTGCTCCTCGTTACGTACCGCTCTCTGTGACTTTCCTTCCCTCCTCTTCGCTCTCCTCCCGGTTTTGCAGCCTGGGGCTCAGGTGAAATGGGGATAAAGGGCTCTGCAAGGTGGGAGGAAATACCAGACTTTCAGAATTGAAACTTCACGTGTGGGGAATGAGCCGTGTTAGAAACCCTAATGTATCGTCTGTACAATGTGAAAAACCCATCTTTTTCCATGAGAAGAAAAAAGTCAGACCTGGCTAAAAGGGCGTCTTGTTCTGTGCTTCGCTTCTTCCAGTCCTGGCGCCGCTGGAAACTGTGATACAGGAGACGATTGACTACACTCGCCAGCGGAAGGTGTTTGGCCAGCCCGTCCTGCACCACCAAGCCGTGGGCTTCCGCCTGGCCGAGCTGGCCACCGAAGTGGAGCTCCTGCGCTCCGTGC